AGCCAGTACTCGTTGTCTAACTCTTTCCGAATATCCGACGGATTCGTCGAAAATTAGAGACTGGGGTACAGTTATAGACAACTTTGTTAATTTAAAAGAGGCAACGACTTATTGGTCTGTGTGCATCATCTATGAAACGAATTTTTATGAATAAAAAAAGCTGACGTGAGCAAACGGACCACACTAAGTTTCTCCTACAGCAAGCCAGAGATATAGCTTTCAAAATCAGGACGCTGGCAAAGAAGTTCAGTCATAAGTGCCTGATTAATTTTACATGTACTCGAAGGTGTCAGACACGCCCCTATACTTTTTTCTGTGATATTGCTTTTTCTTCGAAAGCCATATGTAAATACAGTGTTCAACATTGTCTTGCTTGTTGATGCACTATATTATCAGCTGAAGATGTCGCAACCTCGGCTTGAGAGTAGACAGCGTCTGCAAATGTGCAAGCAACAAGGATAATATTTCGGGTTTAATCTAAACGACACTGGCTTCGTTGGCAACGAAGAAGTTCGACATTGCTGCAACGCTGTCACAGGCGCTCACTGTAAATATCGATGGGCATGAGGATCTGCCGCCTTTTTCATTGGAAAAGCAAAGAAGTTCAGGTGCTTGACAAAAAGTCAAGCCAAGCACTTGGGGTCCTCCTCCGAAAAACACCAGGGATAAATGGCGATTGTGGCTTACAAATGTGGACAAAACAATACAGGTATGTGTGTTGTTTTTGCCGACAATGCCCCGTCGCATATCACGGATAATCCGGAGGTAATTGATGTAAAGGCCCTGCTGCTTCCATCAAAGACGACGTCCAAGACCCAGCCGATAAATGCCAGCATCATTGCATCAATCAATCAGCGGTATCGCCACTACAGTCTGCAACATGCGGTTGATTGCCGCGAGCGACGAATTACCCGACTCATTGACAAAGTCGAGCAACCCGCTGTCACCGCGCGGCTAGTTGCTGTCTGGAACGTAATCTCTGCCGCTACCATTGTTAACTGTTTAAATTACAAGGTAGGTTTAAGAAGCGTAGGACAGTTGTGGAGACGTGCAAAAGAATAATGATGGAAGGTGTGGATCACGCCTACTGCATCAAGTGCAAGATTGATTTGATTGGTAAAGTGCTCTCGGAGGTAAAGATGTTGGCACGAATGATGGTGTCACACGACTGAGTGACAGGAAATGACTGTGGGAGTTATGCAGATTGATCTACCTAACGGTCAAGAAGGAGTATAGTCAAGGCTCGACGATTGACCGATCGCGATCCTGCAATCGAAGGTTTGGTACACTAACGTACAAGAACCGGGTCACTCCAGGGGGGAACATCAACTGGAGTACTGGATCGCTAATGGAAATGGGATATATGTGAATACGGGAGCAAGCTGGAAGAGTAGATCGTCAAGATAATTAAGTATGCGAATTTTAGGACGTGAAGGCGATCCGACCTTGGATGCCCGATCGAAGACGCAACCTAGTGACAACGACCTATCCTGGGTGTGTACTGCTGATCGGTGTGGATCACATAATTGGTGTAAATCCCATACCGCGATCCACTATGGAGTGGTCTACTATAGAGCGATCCATTATGGAGCGATCCAATACGGAGTGTCTGCTGAAGGCTACATAAGGCAAGAAGTGAACTACATAAACAGACGGTGCACAACAGTTGACCTAGCGAACAGATAGGCATAGTCATAGGTTTTGAATTTGGTTGGTTGACATTAAACATAATTGAATTTGCAACGAAAGACACGCGTTAACTTTTCCCGGGCAGGAACGTTGGCCTCCGATTAAATAAATAGTCACCCACGTCTCTGCAAGCTTTTTCCTTGGGTTGTGCAGCCAGGCGGAACATCAGTTTTTACCCCCCCCCCCTTAACTGCGATCGGACGCAGGAAACTCTCACGGTTCGGATTTAAGATCGCGAGACGGCTCAAGTGGTCAGAAGGCTCGCGCATCAAGAATTACCCTTGGCAAAGGCGACTCTAGGAGATGTGGTGAAGTCGATCTCACAAAATTACTTTAGTGAGTGTCGATCTTCCACTTGCCCAGACTTGCCGACTCACGGAGGGGGTACTCCGATCCGTGCCTTGTTGTGTAACCTTGTGCTCACCTTGTGTACCCGTCGTTTGGGCTGGCTTGAGCTCTTCGTAATGGCCTTGGGAGATGTAGATCTCGCTGAGGTTTTGGGGTTGAGCGTTCGCTTCCGGTGCGGAAATCTTCACACCACGAACGGGGTTCTGCGATCCTGATCTTGAGTCGCGGCGATCTCTATTTGGAGATGTCGCGATCTCGATCTTGAATCACACCGATCTCGATTCGTCTTCGGAATCGGGGTCTTCGCTGTGCGGAAATCTTCACTCAGCAAATAATAGTCTTGCGTCGATCTTGCGTTGGGACCGGTCCGATCTGGTCTCGGGATCGGCCGATCTTGCCGGAAGTGCGCAATACGGACAGATCGGTTCTTGGTTTCGCCAAAATGAAACACGCCGATATGTCCAGTAGATCGCTTCGATCTCGCTCGGTCTTGTCTTGAACGCCTTGTCCAGATCTTCTGACCACTTGAGCCTTCTCGCGATCTTGTTTCCAAAATCCTTTTCCTTTTCCTTTGTTGTGTGGCTGCTACCCTAGCAGTTGAGTTGAGTGTGAGTACTTGATCGATCCGGGCCAGATATCCCGAGATCGCTCTTCTCGATCTTGGCCAACAATCCAAGATCGGTCTTCTGTGTCCCTGTAACACGCGTGCCTTGACCCTCCGGGGAAGCCAAATCAATCTTGCCCGGAGAAGAGGGGAGGAGAACGTGCGTCGTGAGCAGAAGAAGTAGAGTTCAAGTCTGTTTATTAACCAACCAAATTAATGTCCAACCTATCATTAAGCCTATTTCCAACCGTAGGTCACTGTCCAAGTCGATATCACCTTTAAGCTTGACCGCCCCCTTGAACACGTGTCGAAATTTCGTGACCTGTACTCCAAAGATAGCGCCAATACTCCCGATATCGTACCTAGACACCAAAAAGGACTAAATTCCAAATATGGTACCAAATACCCAATTTTGGTACCGAAAAGTTTAAAATAGTAACCAAGATGTGGAACGTGTCTAAATCCATTTTGCGACGTCAATTCGACCGACTTCCACTGGCTCTTTCGGTCTGAACTTTTGGGACATCACTCATGGGTCTCTAACAAGCATGTACATCATCATACAATAGCTCCATCATCGATATATCCATAACCAGCAGGGAACATGACCGATCTGGTGTCCAATTCGAGATCGTTGAGGATCGACACAGTGCGATCTGGCCCTGTATGTCTTTTCCGTTCATTGTGCATGCTCCGATACTATACTTAACGGTTTTCCGCACAATGGGACCATCCACAATTCTTACAACGGTCCCACTGACCCCCACAAACATCCCCACTTCCAGATCGGTCCATAATTAACCTGAACCAGTACTCCCTTTGGGAGACCCGTAGAGAGTGTCACCAGTCTGCAGGATGTCACACCTTCGTCACAGAGTCACATCACATCGCCCGATCTCAGATCCTTGTCCCAAATCGCTCCATGGAATTCGTCCTAACTGTCGTCTTGTCCCAAATCACCCCGTCTCAGATCGTTCCATACCCATCAGTCTGACGACAGTTGGATCGGATCGCCGATCCTGTTTTTCTTATTGGATCGCCAAGTTCCATGGCCTCTTTTTCCACCAGTAAGTGGCGTCCCAAATGTGTAGCCACCGATCCTCGTACAAAATTTGATTAGTGACTTCACCACAGAGAGGTCCTAAGTTACAAGCGATTGAGTGAAGAATTTCCATGCGGTCCGTCCCTACGTTTGACCGGTGAAGAATTTTCACCCGATCTCCCCCTATCCCTAAAACGGTCAAGTTCAGCTTCAGCTCAAGTCCATCAAGAAGAGCGCGACCGGCCCCACCGACGGGTACACAAGGTGAGCAAGAAGACACAGAGCACGGAATCGGGGTACCACCTCCTTTAGTCGGTCGTCCGGTCTCCAGTGGGGAGTCTGGGTCACAAGGTATTTGTGAACAATACTCCACCACACAGTGAAGAAGCGGAAAGTAAGTTGAAGCTGTAGTTGAGAGCACGAATCAAGCAGCTGCGTGTTTGGGATCTTATGACGACTTCGGAAACGCATTTATATCATGACCGGGAATGAAAATTCGAAAGAGGCAAAGGAGGATGAGAAGAGGGGGGGACAGTGGAGATATGGTGCACCACACCTGACGCAGACATGTTTACCATCGCCACAAAGATCAACTTCCTTTTTGATACCTGCTTCCTGCTAATGTATCCCATGAAAGTCACCTAGGCGCTTATAGAGTCCTTCGCAACCTCCAACTTAGTATCTGCAACGCACCTACCACCCAAACTCCCCTTGACACGTAGTTGAGCAGGATACCCGTCTAAACTACAAAAAAAACACTTGCTTAGAAAGTTATTTTGACTTTGCCGAAATAAGCTCAAATTTTGGCGGCAGCAGAAGGAACTTCGTGGACACACGTGACAATCTACTCGGGCCACAACATTTCGAAAGAAAACTTATTGAAAGATCTGCAGCTGGCAACCGGTTACAAATTGTTGACCGCTGCGGATTCGTGTTGTAACATACAGTGACCTCCACGACCCACGCGCGTTTCCGTTGGACGAACCGGTCAACAGTATGCAGATCGCCGAGGTGGGGCTGCGGCACAGATAGCGGACAATGTCCAGGCACCGCTCACTGGCTCGAGAATCATCACACTATGATTTCTTGCACAGCTCTACCGACATAAGCCGATTGCGATTGAACAAATTGAGCGAAGTCAAATGGATCAGCAACACACACACGTGTAGGTAGACGGCATTCATACAGATAAATTGCACTCCACGTTCTTGCACCTATCGCACCGCAGTTACGCGTTCATCTCCAGGCTCGTCTTCGTATCTCTCTTGCATTACGTCGCATACTCTTTTCTCACCAGAAATCGTGCGACTCGGGCGCTCACCTGGGTTGGTGCACGCGCCCCACGTGCGCGCGTTTCTGTCGTCGTCCTTCGAACGAGCGCTTGTGCGGGTGGTGCTGCCACAACATGTCCTTCTTCTTGAGCGCCTGCGTGCGCATGTCGTCGTCAGTCTCCGGACGCTCGTGGAACTCTTCGTGGTGCATGCGCTTGAGCTCCAGCATCTTCACTGCCTCATGCAGATGCACCGCGTTCTCGACGTCGTGGATGAGACGATTGACGCGCTCCATTTCCTCCAACTCGTGCCGCTCTTTGCCCGACAGTCTCTGTGAGCACAGCGAGTCCGAGTGCTCGAGTGCCTGCAGCAGCACAAAGCCGTTGGCCCCCGGCTCAACTGCCACAGGCACATTGTAGCGAAAGCGGTTGCTTTGGGGACTCCAGCGCAGGCGCGGGATCGAGTCCAGCAAAACGTTGTAGCAGCTTTTGCTGACGAGGTTTGTCGTCGCCATATCCACAGCTGACTTTCGGATACTTGTGATCGTTCGTTGCGAGTTGCAAAATGGGGAGGCGCTCGACTTGGCCCGCGTGACCTTCCGGGGCGTCCACTTGGCTCGTGTACAGTGAATCGCAGCTTCAACTTGAAGAACGTCGTTGGGCGCGTGTCCAGCTGACAATAATGAGCCGCGACTCGATGCCGTATTGACCATCGAGCGAAACAAACTGTCGCTGTCGGAACTTCAACTTGACGTCGGAGGCTGTCCGTGTAAAACACTGCACCTGTTGAGGGTGAGGTCGCTCGCAACATCGAGTCGTTCGCCCTACACGCGTAGCTTACCAGCTTTGCTTCGTTGCCAACCACCAGTCATTTGCACGGCAGCGGCTTTTCCACAGCTTTCTCGTGTAGTGCCTTCGGATGTGGCAATGACTGACAATGCACGAGGGGCGAATGCTGTCCATTGCTGTCCCCACAGGCGCAGTGAATCTGCGGTGGTGTGTCACACGGTAAGTATCAACAACGTCGAAGCTACTGCTTGTTTGCTTTCGGTCATTACCGTACGCAACAGCAGCACGAGTTGCCGTCTATATGGGCTGTTGCCTGATGGTGCATCCTTTTCACGTCTATCGCTTGCAGTGTGCCAAGGTGAACGAGCGCGTGAGGTGCAACACCAGTTATCGCTTGTCAATGCTGATCCCCGGTGTCAACTGTGCTGCGACACAAGATGCGCATATGGCGTTCACACCTTGTAGTGTCGAGCGAATCTGCTACATGCTCAGCCTTTCACCAGCTGGAAACGCCTCCACGATGGCGAGGCAATCTATATCGGTGGAACGGGAGTAGACGCGCAGGTAGATCGTGCGAGCGAGTATAGGGCGATTCATCGATACACGCAGACGTCAAGCGTCAAGTTCGGATGGAAAACGAAGTCGGCTAGAAGCTGCAGATCAGGCGCCACCTTGTCGTCTGGCAGACATAGAGGGTCGACACGTCTTAGTCAGATAAGGCTCTCATGGATGCACAGGACGCGTTTCTCTGCCACACAGTTACAAACGCACGAAACAACAGACCTCACGCACCTGCGAACAGATCATAGCTGCGCTGTTGCTGATATCCGCTCAGGACTCTTATCCTATTTGTGACATCGAATCTGCTCTTCGACACGTGCGGAAAAGGAGCAGATCACTGCTCTCCAGTCGACGAGTAGTAGTCAGGACGATGCAATGATGACCCTCAATGCTGCCATCTGCATGAACGCAAACTTCGTACTCACCTCAGCCACATACTACACCGATGCAACTTTCGCAGCACCGCGTCCTAGCAAGGGACACACAGGATCTTGCGACGCACGCAGCTTACAGCGTACAGTCGGCATTTATAGAGAACACATCATCCCATATCCCGAAAAGCGCCGCAAGTTCTCCGGAGTTTGACGCAGATCCCAATCGTCCACAGTCGTTTCTGCGTTGCCGTTACGTCGTCCATCATCACCAGTAGCGCGTCTTGTCCACGCTATCGAAGCAACAGCATCTCGACATGTAAAATTAGGACACCACGTGATCTCGCGCGGTCGATACGTCATCATGCGAGCACAGTACGGAGGCGATCTGCAGGTCAGAAACGTTTCTGCCAATCAACGACCGCCCGCGCGCTCCTGGATCCCTACTATCGGCCAATCCCGCTCCGTCGAGCGACGCGAGCAGCTGACTGGACTAGAAGCCGCCGCAGCCATACGAACGGACCTCCTCGAGAGCGTCTAACAGTGTGCGATTCGCCAAACCAGTCACCACAATGGGTCGTCGTCCTGCCAAGTGCTACCGCTTCCAGAACAAGAAGCCGTTCATCAAGTCCCGCTACTGCCGCGGCGTGCCGGACCCCAAGATCCGCATCTACGACGTCGGCAACAAGAAGGCGTCGGTCGACCTCTTCCCCTTTGTGGCGCACTTGGTCTCGGACGAGAAGGAGCAGTTGTCGTCCGAGGCGCTCGAAGCGGCGCGCATTGCCGCGAACCGGTACCTGACCAAGTACTGCGGCAAAGACAACTTCCACATGCGCATCCGTTGCCACCCGTTCCAAGTGCTGCGTATCAACAAAATGCTTTCGTGCGCTGGTGCCGATCGACTGCAGACGGGTATGCGTCACGCCTACGGCAAACCGGCGGGTGTGGCTGCGCGCGTGTCCATTGGTCAGCCCATTATCTCAGTGCGCTCGAAGGACTCGTTCGGTCCGTCGGTCGTCGAAGCGCTGCGTCGTGCCAAGTTCAAATTCCCTGGTCGCCAGAAAGTCCTCGGCTCGAAGAAGTGGGGCTTTACCAAGTACGAACGAGAGCTGTACGCTGAGATGCGTGCGAACGGCTCGCTGGCTGTGGACGGCAACCACGAAAAGTACAAACCGAACCACGGTCCGCTGAAGCTGTAAGCGCAGTGCGAAGAGCGCAGTGGTAGCTGTGTAGCTGGACTGCCGAGTAGTGTCGACTGCTAACGGTATAACTTACGACTTTGTTTGGTGCAACGCACGACGTGTAATTGTTACGGTTTGCTGTTCTCTCCTGCTCTAGCTCCCGAAGCCTTGTGCATCCATCCGCAGACAGCTGGGGGTATACCTCCATACAGGTGGGGGTATACCTCCATAGAGCTGACGGCTGAGTTAGAACACTACAGTGAGCAGTCCACATCACGGTGCTGCTGGCGTGGTTGGTTCCGCTTCGAAACCTACGGGCTGACCAATATCCGTGTGCGTCAGCGCCATGACCTTGAAGACGCTTCCCATCTGCTCTGGCTTCACGAGACGCTCATAGGACGAGAACAGCTCTTGCTGCACCTTCTCCGACTCGGTGTTTTGCAGCAGCATGGCCAAGCGATGCTCAATGCCCATGTTCTTCAAGAATACGCCCTGGCCGACCGGGCCCGAGCTCCGCACCGCGGACTCTGCTGTCGCAAACCGCCGCAGAGTGGCAAAGTCCACGTCGATGCTCAGATCGACGTCACCTGGCTCGCGCAGCACGCTGACGAACTCGTGGTTCTTGATGCCACGCAGACTCAGCTCGGACGGGTGGTCGTACCCGTAATCCACAATCAGCGCGCCGCCTCCTGAATGCGAAATACGCTTGGCCATGTCCTGTACCAACGCGATGCCGACTGGAGAAATCTCGATCTTGTCGCCGACCTGAGCCTGTGCGGTGCGCACAGGAGTGTCCGCCACGTCTGCCACATCGAGGCGCCGAATTGCAGCGCTCTGCATCTTCTCGAGATCTTCCACGCTGGAAACATGCGTCTCGGTCACGGGCGATAGAGCAGTCGACGGGTCAAACAGCTTCTCGCGGCCAATGTACACTCGCGTGGCTGGCGTTGGCCCGGGCGACAACACAAAGCGAAAGTGGTCATCGCCGTCTTCAAAGTCGAGGTCCACAAGGCGTTCGCACCAGCCTCTGCAGCGTGAGCACCCAAGACCGTCGAAAGCACAGCATCATAGACATCAGCCCACACTACGACTGCTTCCTCCGCCAAAAGACAAGAACCAACGGACAGACGCACCGGTCAGTGTACTCGAACTGGTGCACCGGCAACGCGTCAAAAAGCTCCTGAGCAATGATCAAGCACGGACCATGCGGAACGCTCGTCAAGTCTCTATGCCATCGAACCGTCGGTCCGTTATCGGGAAGCCGCATGGTGCTGTCCGAGGCTGCATCGTCCTCAATTGCCTCGCACTGCAACGTCTCTCTCTGGATCTTTTGCATGGCTGGCAAACGAATACAATACGCACAAAACATGCAACTGCTGAGTGCTGACTCCTCGACGCCATCACCTCTTCCTCTTTCGCTTTTCGCAACAAACGTACCTGGACTAATGTCCACCATATGAATCTCTAACGCATCGTAGAACGGCGGAAACGACTTGGCCGCACGCACAAAGTCGCTCATGAGAGAGCCTCGTCCCGGCCCCAGTTCAATAATCTTCACGTGGCTCGGCGTCCCCATTTGCTGCCACGTCGCCACGCACCACACTGCAATGAGCTCTCCAAACATCTGACTGATCTCGGGCGCGGTTGTAAAGTCCCCTTGGCTGCCAAACACGTCCTTCTTCATGTAATAGCCATAGTCGGGATGACCCACAGCACGCGTCATGAACTCGGCGACAGTGAGCGGTCCTTTCACCTCAATCATCGAGCGAAGAACGTGAACAAGTGCATTCTCCTGACTCTTTGTCGCATTCCCATCGATATCTCCGTCCAACTGACTCGTCCACGCGCTACTCGGCCGTTTAAGTGCCGAGCGGTCCACCGACAGGTACTGCATTGAGCCCTCAGTCGTCTCGAGCGGCTTCTGCTGCTGCCACTTTTGCAGCTGCGTCGCCAGCGTCCCGTCATTCCATTGTCCAGTGCTGCAGAGCGCCGCAGCGCCTCCCGACGCCCGAACTCGACGCGTCCGAAGCGCCGAACGCGCCGCCAGCGGCCGCCAAAGGGCCTTCGACGTGAACATCGCGTGATGTGGTGCACCTCACGTGGTCAAAAGTAGTGCGAACGTCCAGGATCGTTATTTTCGGTCCCGGCCGAAAATAGCGGTCGCCTGCAAAAGTAGCAGTACCCTACTCACGCGAGCATTCATGAAGGCGGCGCAGGAGCTCGAGGTGGCCGTGCCTGTCGGGCTTGTGGTCCTTTTGCTCGTGTTTGTCTGCGTGGCGCTCTTGTGTCACGGCGTGAACCCTCTCCGCGTGCTGCGGTCGTCTTTCAAAGTGCCTCGACGCGCACATGGCACGCTCTCGGGCTCAGACGGAGAGCGCGAGGCGCTGCTCGCAGTGGACCGTAAAACCCGTGCGTGGCGACTAGGGTTCTGCTATTGCTACTTCATAGCGAGGACTGACTTATGTGGTGTCGCTGCGATGTGGTTTTGTGATGTGGACAGGGGTCCGATATACCGGTAAAGTGCCGCTGTATACCGACACGATCGCAGAGCTGGCGAGGTGCGAGACCCCGCGCGAGATCGAAGCGTTCATTAAGGTGATCAATGTCCACCGGCTGCTGAACTCGAGCGTCAAAGCGCAGCACTTTGCGCAGTTTTGCAGCTCGCGCTTGGAGCTGTCGGCTCTGAGTGTGGCTACGCTCGCGACGATCATTTTGTCGCTGCAGAAGTTTGCAGCTGAGCCGATCGTCGTCACGTGTGTCCGGGGCTGTTTCTGTGCCAAGCGAGACGTGGCGTGTTTGCAGCTCAAGGACGAGGTGGACGCCAAGTTTCCCATGTTCGACTTGATCTACCACCGCATCCGGTCCGACGTGGACCGAGAAGCGATTTTGACCCATTTTGAGACGGAGGCGATAGCACTGCGGACGTCTTCGACGTTTTTCGTTCCAATGAAGCTGCTGTGGTGCGATGTGCTAGTAATGCCTGGCTCAGGGGTGTGTATGCGTGCGTGGGCTACCTAACTGACGTACGCTTCTGTCTGTTGAACTTGTGAAGCGATATCGACGATACGATGCTGGCTGCTCTCTTTGACACGCGGTATCCAGAGCTGACAGTGTACCCAGGTGTCCACCAGTTCGCTCAGGAATTGCTTCGGCGGTCAGCGTCGAACTCTACGAATGGTGTTGACGACGACCACAGCGATAGTTGCGAAGACCTCGAAAGCGGCAGGTCCAGGGAATGCAAAACCGTGCAACGCGTGGCCTTCCTCACTGCCAGGCCTGAGTTTTTGCGCAAACGGTCATTGCAAGAGCTCCGAGCATGCGGCTTCCAGCACTTTACTCGTACGTGATACTGTCTGTGCGACGTCGTGGGACTTGCGGCCGATAGCACTGACACGTGTCGTGGCACAGTCTTGATGGGCCGTTTTACAAGCATGTGGGGCTCGCAACGCATTGCGTCAGGAAAGCTTCGGGTGAGCGACAAGCTACAAAGTCTGAGGGTCTACGTACGTTGCTGACAGCGTTTGCTTTGCAGAACTTTGTGCGGTACAAGCGAGTCTTTGCCGAGCACCAGTTTGTCTTTGTCGGCGACAATGGTCAGGGCGATATTGATCTTGGCAAGGAGCTGCTAAGGAGTCCCCATCTGTACGCTGTGTCCGCCGTGCTGATTCACGACGTGATTCGCAATCATGCCATGAGCAAAGCGCTGAGCCAGCACTGCTATCGAGGTATCGAGTGCAATCAGAGCGGCATTCACTCCTTCCGCACGTACATTGGTGCGAGTTTCCACCTTTATGCGATTGGCCTCCTACCGCTGGCCGCGGTCATCCGCGTGGTGGAAAAAACGGCGCTGGCGTACGCGGCCATCGTGTTCGACACGCGCGACCAGAAGCAGAACCTTGCGCAAGAGATCCTGTTTGACGTGGCCGCTGTAGTGAACGAGCTGCCTGATCAGCAGGCCATGGCACTGGTGTCCTCGCTTCACGACGACATTGTGGACAAGGGAGACGACAGCGAGCCAAACGGTAGTGTCGAGCGGAAGCAGTTCCGACTGACGCGGGAGGAGCAGCTTCAACAGCGACTAGAGGCCGTACGAAAAAGCGCTGCGCACCTCTCGCGGTCGCCGTCTCATGGTTTGTATAAAGCAGAAAGCTAAAGCTGTTGGGCAGCACGTGTACAATATGGAAAGTTCCTTACATGAGCCACAACTCAGCCAACTGCGGCTGACACGTCGTGAGCCATTCAACTACCTAGCTGTCGCTGCAATTAGTACGTCGGCAGACGCAACGCTGCAACGATCAATAGCTGTCCCAGCCAAGACATAGCTAGTCAACTTTCTTGGAAACGCTGTAGATGGCACCATCAATCATGCGCGCGACAGCAAAGACGCCGCCGACAATGGCACTTGTGCTGGTGAGGAAGTGCAGCACGGACGGCTTGGACTCGACGTACTGCACAGCGATGGGCGAGAAGTCGTACGAGAATATTACCCCGGGGAACGACATCTGACCGTTCGGACTCCGTGAGTTCATCTCGTGTTCCGTCACGGAATACTGGAACGTCGTCACGGATCTGCCGTTCAGATACGTGTAGCGAGTGGGCACAACGCTCACAAAGTACTTGTACGTTGCCACTGTACACACCACACACATTGGCCATTAGAAGCACTCAGCAACGACCGTATGCAAAAGCAGTGGGGTCCCTCGACGTACAGTTCGTCGTCAAAACTTTGCTGACGTCAATGAGTGGCGTCTCCATGTCGGGAATCTGCGGACCAAAGCGCAGGTGATTGACCACGTGCGACGAGTTGAAGTTGAGGAACTCGAGGATCGAAAAGATCGTGAGTGAGCCTTCGTGCGCAAAGGACAGGTCGCCCGCCACTTTCTGCACTTGCACTGTGCCGTAGAGTCGACATCCGTCAACTCCGAACGGTTCTTCTTTGATGTCCTGATTCAGCAGAATGTCCTTATTGCCCTTGGCGTCACTCACGTCCAATGCCACCTCTACAGGCACAGAATTACATATCCCATCAGTACTTCTATCTGATCAAGAATGACGACTTCACGTGAAGTAGCAGCAGCAGCACCTTGACACGCCTCGTGGAGGAACGAAATATCCACTTCCACGTTGATGGGATAATCTTGCTGCTTTCCATACATTCAGTTAGTCATACCCGACCACGGCCGACAAGTAGAAAGGATGCTGCTCCGTCTTAAGTACGAGCACGAATGGACACACACACACACACGAGTGGACGTACTGGGTCCGTGTCCACGTGCATGCGGTGCGTGACGCTCACTGTCCACCACACAGAGAGCTCCGAGAGCAGGAGGAAAGCGGCCGCCACGCAGCTCAGGAGCGTCACGATGCCGCCGCCGATCGTGCGCTCCTGAATGCCCTCGACGGCCTTCACGTTGAGGTCGAAGCGCCGCCACGACATGCTGCGGTCGAGATAGAAATGAGTGAGTGCCACGTGGGACGCGCGCGACAGCGACACGCACAGCAAATAGAAATGGCCAGAGCACGAGCAGCTGCTTTTTGTACAAAAAGCTTAACTGACCGCCACTTGCAAGTTAGAAAATCGTCGACTCTTTTTCGTTTGTCTGTGAAAACAAGCGCTTTTATTGCGTGTGAAGTAGCGAGAAAAAGTGAGATTTCTCGCACATTTTTTCGAGTCGAAACAACAGGTTCGGTCGAAACAAAGTCAGCCCGTCGGTCGATGACAAAAGGTGAGCCCACTCTACCTGTAGCCATCTACTCCAATGCAGCGCCGTCTTCATACATATATTAAATAAATGGCTACACGCCGCCACGCATCGTCGAGATGCACAGCCTTCTTGCAAACACAAACTTTGCCTCACGCTATGCGTCACGATGCTGTGACAATCTCCAGCCCGTGCTCGCGCGCGGTTTCTATACGTGCAGCGCTGATCCACTTGCACCCGCAGAGATTGAGCTTCAGCCGTTTTCCTCCCGGGGCCACGCTCTCTAATGTCGACGTGGACTCGGGAAGAAACGCGTCAACCGAAGCATCCGTGAGCTGCGTACACCACATCAACAGCACTTCCTCGAGCTCTTCGCAGCCACGCGCGATATCCACAACGCTCTTGTCAGTGATGTTCATGCACCACGAGAGGTTCAGACATTCCAGTCGCTGGCCATAAGCGCCGAGCATGCCGGCGCCACGGTCAGTAATCAGCGCGCAGTTGGTCAGGTTCAACTTGCGCAGGCGTCTGCAAGAACGCACAAGCGCTTCGATGCCGACATCCGTGATTCCGCTGCAGCTGCTGAGCTTGACGTCGTCGAGAAGCGGACAGTGCTTGGCCAGTGCAAACAGCGTGGCGTCCGTGATGTTGCTCCGAGTGAGGTCAATGGCACGCAACGCCCGGCCCATGGCGCTAAAGCCATTGCGTTGGTCCGACGGCTCCGTCGTGAACGCACTGTCCGAGATGTCCATGAACGACAAATTCAATCGCTGCAGGTCAGTCGCTGAGCGAAGCAGCAGGTGAATTGCATCGTCACGAATGTGCTACACCATACAGACATCCACATCGCCATTAGACGACCGACCTCGCCACTTCCCATTCTTGCGTCGGCAATGACCACATCAGCATACAACACATACCTTGCAGTGCGAAAAGTCAATGTCAGTGAGCGACCGGCAAGCTTTGATCAAGAACAGCACCAGGTCCTTCGTCAGCTGGGAGCAGCGCGCGAAACTCACGACTTTCAGCGACGTGCACGCGTGCAGCGCGTAAAAGGGCGAGTGGTCCGGCTGAAATGCAGCGTCTGTAATGTGGCGGCATCCAGCTAGCTGCAGCGTCTGCAAACTGGAGCAGCCCTGGAGCACCGCGCGGACCACTGTGTTGGTCACTTGAGGGCAGTTGGAGAGGTCCAAGCAGCGCTGGTGTACCATCACGCAATGACAGAGTAAGCGCAGGCTCGTGTAGCCATTGCACGGGCGCATACAAAACAGTATCGATCCACGTACCAGCTCCGGACAGCGGAAAGGAATTTGGCGTAAGATGGAGTTCCGAATCGAGCAACAGCCCGACAGATTGAGCACGCGACGGGAGATCATAAAAAAGGCAGCCAGACGGTCGTCCGTCAGCGTCTTGGACGCGATCATGTCGGCCAGCAGCGTCAGCACGAGCTCTTCCGGGAGGCGACTGGAGGGTTCAGACAGATCGAGCGGTTATTCGGTCACTCGGTTTTGTTCTCTGAGAGCCGCAACGGGACAACGAGCGAAGAACGTACCGCAGAACGCGCAGCAGCACACGCTGTGGAGCCCCTGCCGCAAGACGGGCGACGCATAGCGCAGACAGTGACGACAGCGCGCTCTGTGGGGCTTCGGCCATTGGTTGGCGACGAGGAGTTACTTTCGAGAGTGAAGCGATTGGAGGCGCTTTTTATTATTGCGCGAAGTGGCACTGAGTTTGATAGTGGCGATGTGGGAGGAATGGATAAATGGATTGGGTGGGTGGGTGAATGGGTGGGTGATTGGGTGAATGGGACGTTTGAAACGAATTGCGACAAAACGGGTGGGTTTTGCCTTTACAACAAGAGGGAGGAAGCGACTGAGTGAAAGGCACTGGGACATTGACGGGACTTGACGACCTGTACTTAGCGACTCGACTGGTCGGACAAAGTGCTGCGTTGCAGCCATTTCCCCGAAAACCGATCGCAGCGTCTGTTTGTCCAACGGATACGAAAAATAGTCGTGCGCGTGTGTCGAGAGTACGTGACATTGAGGTGTTTTCCTCGACGCAACCCGCTTGATGGGTGTGCTACTGCATTGCCGACACAGCTTTGCACATCCCTAAGTTTCCCGCATCCGCCGCGGTCGAAAACGTGGCAGCCACGTTGTCTGACATCGCAACGACGCTCCTTTGAGGTATGGTGCGTCGAGAGAGATTGCAGTGGGCTTCACCGTACAGGCGATGCAGCGGTCGTGTTGTTAGCGACAGGTCAAGCTATCCTGCCAGCAGGACTCCATCAGTGTCCAACAGGACTCCACCAAGGTCGGACACACATCGTTTGTACCAGGGGCGGGGAACGCAAATCTGCCAACATTCTTCCGTCCAATTCGTCAGATGAGTCTGCTTACGGGACGTCCGACGCAACGACCGACGCACTTTGACTTTCAGCTCAGTCCAACGCTACAAATGGCATGGAGGCATAGTGTACATTGCTACGAAACACGTGAAACAACAACAAGAGCGAGTTCCAGCGTGCGCTAGGGGCACAAGCTACTAATCGCCATGATTCGTTCCCTGCACAATGCCATTACAACCAGCATACAAGTCAGCAGCAAAGCGTCAGTTCCAGCCATCGATGCAGCAGCTGAGAGCTGCTTGTAAGACGCATCGACACATCCGTACCCGACCGCGTCCAGTTCCTTCATCGCTGCTTCTACTTCCTTCCGCCGTTTTATCCAGAACGTAGGTGTCGTAGCTGCTTCTACACAGTTACAACACAAGATGCGTCAGGAAGGCAGCCGCAACACCAGCGCGACACTACAACATGCTCCGAACGTACCCAAGTCTGCAACTCGCTCTTGCTCATCAGGGCCACCCCGCTCTCTGAGTCTCGAAGAACCATTCCTGTAGCTCAACTGTTGCGGCACTTTTGTCAAAGCTGGCAGATGACTGCTCACCGAAGACAGTGCTGTATTTCGATACACGGGCTTCGTCTTGGACGTCGTCGCTTCGTCCGAGTCTTGTGAGGCGGACCTCCTTCGTGTGCGAACATCAGTCAACGTCCGCACACTGTTTTCCCACCGCATTCGAGATGTCAGCAGCTGATGCTTCCGATTCCCACTCATCTTCGGTCGCTTCAACTTGCTCTCCTTTGCATCAGGAAGTCGCGATCCGAACGCAAACTTGGCTCGAGCGGTTGTGGATGCGGCAGTTGACAGTGGACCCCCAGTGCGTTGTCTGGAAACAAGAGCGCGCATAGAGAGCACATCAGTATGCGGTTAGTTGCCTCACGGCTCAGCAGCGTTCACGTCATTGTGGCCTACTTCTTGGGGGCACGTGTCGCCGTCGAGTCTTCGGTAGCCATCGGTTCGTCTGTGGAGATGTAAAGTGTGGCGACGAAACGACGGATCCTGTCATAGAGCATAGTAATCATGCGGACTTATGCCAGTCACGGGTTGGACCAAACTGAGCCAGCTCGTGAGGTACCACGGCACAGGAACCGCTGGTCTGGTCTCTGCGCCAGCATCCGATGCCACTTGAGTTTGCAGTAGTTGCATCGCTGCTGCCGTTTCACACGGGTGCAAAAACGAGAACGGTCGGTTCAGCACCGGGTGCTCTTCCATCGCAATGATTGTCGATCGACAGGTCGAGCCAGGAAACTCCACGTCGCGGGTGATCGCTGAGGCTCGCAACGGCGTCCCATCAATTGCAAATGCCCGAAAGTACAGCACAGGTGTCTGGTAGATCGTGTGGTAGACGATGTGGAGCTCGAGCAAAGCAGTACTCTCGTCTTGCTGGTGCTGCACCGTCGTCTGCATCTCATCGTCACCCGCACATGCGTCCTGACGAACAACGCCATCACGAAAAACGAGATGCAACAGCCACAAGTTGCAGTCTACCACTACCAACGAGAGAGCGTGCTCACCTCCTCAATCAGCTGCTCCAGCTCCTTCACGTCGTCGTCGTCGTCGTCGTCACGCACGTGTCGAGTCATCATCACATTCGTACCATTCATACCATTCGGTGAACACGGTCGAGCAATTCCACTGGACACGAGGTACGCATTTCCAGCCAAGTGCTGCCACCGTCGAGCCAAAGCATATGCATCAGAGAACGTCCACGACGCGCAGCTCCTGCGCACTTCCGCAACTCACCGGTCGACCGCCACGTCGCCACTCCCACGTCGCCACACGACTCTCAGTACCCACTTTTTGGCGACTCGCCAACTCCTGTGAACGCCGCTGCAGCAGGTCGCCCTCGGTACAGAACTTCGCATAGCTGAGACAACCGCCGCGCATGACCGCTCAGCCCGTCGAGGAGGTCAATCAGTCAGTCGGTCGGTCGGTCGGTCGGTCGGTCGGAGACGTCGGCAGCTCGTGTTGTCCACACCACATTGTGTTCCGCACACCACTTCTCGCGGCTCGTGTCCTTCTCCGACCGACCGACCGACCAAATATGTCCGACCGACCGACCGAGTTCTCCACATCGCAATGGACGCGTCGGCGCTCCTCGTGTGGCTCCTGTACGCGGGCGTAGCGCTCCTCCTGCTCCTCGTGAGCACGTCGTTCGTGCTCTACGCACAGCCCAAACACGGCGCCTCGTCTTCTCTCGCCGCCTTCGCCCACACGTCCACTCTCAGCGCCGCACCGCTCTCCGTCTCCTCGCGCTTTGTTAACAGCGTCTGCGTCCTCGCGCTCTACGCGTCGCTCCTCTGCCTCTTCACTGCCCCCGTCGACGTCTATCTCCTGGACAACGCGCTGCCCCACGTCCCGTCGAACGCCCGCGCGCTCCGCGTGCTGTACCGCGTCTATCTCGCGCTACTGGCTCTGTACTCCTTCGGGGGGGCGCCGCTTGCGTACAACTACGCCAAACAGACGGAAATCGCGCACCTGACGCTGCGCTTCTCCGCCCGAGAGCGGCTCTTTGCGGCCGCGAAGCGCACCGTGTGCTTCCTGCTCGGTCTGTCGCTCTTGCTGCTCGTGGTGATGGTCGTGCTGCTCTGTGGGAAGCCCGCGAGCTCCGATATCGAGTGGCTCCGACCGCTGCTCCGGTTTTCGTCGGACCTGGAGACGTTCCTGCGACTGCTGGTGGGGACGTTGGCACTCACGGGTATGTACTTGTGGCTGTGTGTGTGCAGTCGCGGGCTCGCGAGTGTGCCGCTCGTGGGGCTCCTCATGGAAGACCACAGCATTGACGAGAACATGACGACGTTTGAAGCGCTGTTGCGGGAAAATGCGCTGGAATCGCGGGCGACCGCGCAGACGAGAGATACGATTGTGCAGCGATATGCTGTCAAGCAGCAAATGAGTGGCGCGGACCAGGAACGACTGTCGCAATTGAAGACGCGAGCACAGCTTCTTGAAGAACGTCGAGACGTGCTGCGTGAAAACCTGCAGCGTTTCGCGCTGACGGGGAAATTGACGTGCTGGAAGATACCGATCGGTGTCGTGTTGATGCTCCTGTCGCTGCTGATTGTCACGTCGATGCTCAGCACGAGCGTCGACAAGATGGCGCATTCGAGCTTTGCCCGTGGTTTTCTCCTGAACGCACCGAAGTTTCCGAACCCGATGGATCTACTGTTGGTGATCGCATCGCGCGTGTTCCCGTTGGACTACGTGGTCTTTGCAGTGCTGTTCGTGTACTTGTTCGCAGTTTCGTTGGTGGTGCTCAAGCGCCACGGCCTGCAGTTTCTGTGCTTCCGACTGGGACGATTGCAGCCGCGACTGACGTCTGCCGCTACAATGACCATTCTGTCGCTCGTGCTCATGCAGCTCGCCATGGTGGGGCTCTTCGCGCTGCTCACGTTGGCGCCCCAGTACGCCACCTTTGGTCACCAAACGTTTGTGGATGCGTCGGGTCGCGTTGTTCCCTGTAGCCTGGAAGAGGCGGCCAATGCTGCTGCAGCTGCAGCTAAGTCTGGTGGTCAGCCGGATCATTGCCGCATGACGCAGCTGGCGCGGTTTTACAACGCTCTTGCAGTCGAGCTGCCCATGTTTGGCACGGCCTTTTTCGTCGGCCAGCTTTTGTTTGCTGCAGCGTTCGTGCCGTGGATTGCACATGCCTATTGCATGGCAAAGAAGCTCGACGATCCTACCGATCCCAAGCGCCAGCGACTGCTAGACGACTATTAAACTGTATCGAGCTGTGAGCGAAGCGGTGTTTTTACTTTGTGGGAACTGAAGCAACGAGACCTAGCCAGCATCAACTACTATATTCTAACCTATGTCAATCAGTTCGCGTCGTGGCGCTCGACGTGCTCTCTCAGCTTAGCTTCCCTTTTTTCGTAATCGGAAATGGGGATTCCAACTGAAGACTCTGCTTCAGCTTGTTGCACTGCATCAATTTGGCACTACCCTTGCATCGATCGATCATGAAGCATTGAACGAGGATGCGTTGCCAGCAGTGTCCATCGAGCCTGTGCGCTCCTTCCCTGCAAAGAAGCGGTTCTGCAAACCACCGAAGATATTGCGGATACCGCCCGCGGGGCTCGCAGCCTCGTTCAGCGGTCCTCCCTTGTGGCCGTTCTGCGACGTGTTGGAGCCTCTGCCTTCGTCAAACACGCCTGCCGCATGGTTCGGGTCGCAACCGGCCAGAAACGCCTCGTACGACTGCTCGCGGTCATGCAGCAGCTCCTCCGTGCGGAGCTGCTTGGCTTCCACACGAGCGCAGACTTTCTCAAACGCCGCCTTGGCAGCCACGTACTCCCGCTGCAGTGCATCGAGGTCATGTTTGATCCCCACGAGTTCACTCTCCGTCTGTTGGATGGTGCGCAGCGCTGGCGACTGCTCGTCAATCTTCAGACACTTGATCGAGTACTTGACCGCCGACAGCCAGTTGTCCCCGTAGACGCAAAACAAGTGCTCGCCCTTTTCCAGCGGCACTGTGCGTCGCACTTCAAACATCGTCAATTTGCTAAAGATCTCCGGCAGCTCCGAGTCAGCAGTGGCGCCGGGCCACAGCTCCGGGTTCAAGTCCATGAGCTCGACGTTGCTCGACAGGTACATGTCGGCAGCGGTGCAGCGCGACTTCTTGCTCGACTCCTGCACCATCCGCACAGCGCCGTGCTGGTCAAAGAGCACGAGCTTGAACTTGCTCTTGCTCGCCGAGCGGCACATAAAGACCACCGACTCCCTGTCTCGGTCCACGTGGAGCTTGTAAAAGTGCGCGTCCTGCTTGTCCACTTTTGCGTGGCGTTCCATGCCAAAGACCATCTGCGTGACCAGCGGCAGTTGCGTCGAGTTGTTGCGCTCGTCGCAGAGGTCCCGCGCAGCAGCCAGCACCGTCTGCGAGATCTGCGTGGGGATGGGCATGCCGATCTTCGTGAACAGCGCGCCCACGACGCGGCCAAAGCCGCCCATGGACTCCACGTCCACGCTCTCGAACGCCAGGTCCTTGCCGCTCTCGCCCGCCACGTCGTACTGCCGGCGCTTGTTCGGGTCGCTCAGCACGGCATACGCAGCGCTGGCCTGCTTGAACTTGTCGGCCGCTTCCATTGAGCCCGCGTTGCGGTCCGGATGGTACTTGAGCGCCAACTTCCGGTACGCCGTCTTGATCTCGAGCTCGCTCGCCATCTTCTCGACGCCCAAGATCTCGTACAGGTTGACGCTGCCCTCGTCCGGTTGCTTGGGCACGGGGTCGCTCATGGTCGCGACGTCACTACGTCACTATATACGTGACGGACGGACGGACGGACGTGCACAGACGCTGCGGGTCACGAGGACGAGCGAGAGGACACGCAAAGGCGAAGGAACTGCTGGACGCGGACGGCGACGAGGAGCAGGAGGAGGGAAAACGCGATGTGGGGAAGAACAATTGGCCGGCGCTCGGCGGGTCGCGCTTAAGTGCGATCACAGCACAAATCGTTGCAGCGGAATGGGGAGGCACATGTCGCAGAACTCAGCGTGATACACAACTGGTATAAGATTACTTGCTACTCGAGGGCTGCTACGACGACGACGACTCTAGTAGGGTTACTACTACTACTACTACTACTACAGTACTACTACAGTACTACTATACCCTCGGGCTGCTACTAAGTGCGGCAGAGTCTCGACAGTCCAGACGACTGGATTGCAGACGTGCTCGACATGGCAGCTGCGATCGGCTTTCTGAGTTCTTCCGTCTGTCTGTATGTCTCGACCACATCGGCTACGTGACCACAACGACGCGGGCCTTGACACTGTCTTTGAGCTCTTTTCGCACTTTGGTGCCATCCATTCGCTAAGGTACTGCCGAGCAGCGGACGAACACGTTCGCACACAGCACTACGATCGCTCAGGTCAATGTCATCAATTACTCGAGACGCAAACGAACAAGAAGACACACGGTCTGCATTGTCTTATTCTCCTCTTCTTTACTGCGCTCACTCACCTGCTGCTGTCGTTCGTCTCTCGCCGTCTCCTCCTTCCACTCTCGTCGACTGCCTCTGGCCCCCATTTCCCTCCACAGCTCCTGCCACGCGATCTGCATGGGCTCTTGCCCCGCGCGTCATTGTCTCGCCCTTCTTCGCCGTCATTTTCCAGAGCTCGACCACCGCGCGCGACAGATCCGTTACACTCGCTGCGACCAACGGGACACGGGTGCCAACGAGGACTCCTAAATAAGATCCGCAACGTTCATCGGCATCTCGTCGATCTGCGTGTTGTAGAACTGCTCAATGTCACGCAAGTATCGCACGTCGTTGTGCGTCAAAAAGTTGATGGCCACACCCTTACGACCGAATCGACCCGAGCGACCGATACGGTGGATGTAGTTCTCGCGGTTCGTGGGCAGGTCGTAGTTGATGACCAGCGACACCTGCTGCACGTCGATACCACGAGCCAGCAGATCCGTCGTGATCAGCACACGCGAAGAGCCCGAGCGGAACTCACGCATGATGATGTCACGCTCACGTTGCTCCATGTCACCGTGCATGGCCGACACGGTGAAGTCCTTCGACTGCATCTTCTCCGTGAGCCAGTCGACCTTTCGGCGCGTGTTGCAGTAGATGATGGCCTGTGTGATGGTGAGCGTCTCGTACAGATCGCAGAGCGTGTCGAATTTCCACTCCTCGCGGTCAATGGCAATGAAGAACTGCTTGATACCTTCAAGCGTCAGCTCGTCGCGCTTCACGAGGATACGGATGGGCTCGCGCATGAAGCGGTGGGTCACTTCGAGCACGTCCAGAGGCATCGTCGCCGAGAACAGCGCCACTTGCACCTTTTCAGGCAGAAACCGGAACACCTCGTAGATCTGGTCCTTGAACCCGCGAGACAGCATCTCATCGGCCTCATCCAGCACGAACATCTTGACCTCGTCCGTGCGCAACGCACGACGGTTGATCATGTCGCCCACACGGCCAGGCGTGCCCACCACAATGTGCACACCCTGCTGCAGCGTGCGGATGTCGTCGCGCACAGCCGTACCACCAACGCAGGCGTGCACCTGCACAGTCATGTAGTCACCAAGTGCAACCACGACTTTCACGATCTGCTGGGCCAGCTCACGGGTTGGGGCGAGGATCAACGCCTGCGTCTCCTTGAGACTGATGTTGATCTTCTGCAGGATCGACACGGCAAAAGTGGCGGTCTTACCCGTACCGGACTGCGCCTGGGCAATGCAGTCGTGGCCCAACAGAATGGGCTTCACAGCGCGCTGCTGGATAGCCGACGGCTTTTCGAAACCGTAGGCGTAGATGCCACGAAGCAGATCCTCACGCAGCTCCATACCGTCAAAGGTCTCAATGACCTCGTCCCAGTTCGTCTCAATGTCGCCTTCGTCGAGCTGGACCTGCTCGTCCGGGCCTCCTTCCTCGGCATTTTCACTGCAGCAACACGAGAAGCACACAATCGTCAGTTCAGTAGAGCGCTCGAGGCCAATACAAAGCACCACACGACACGATCTGTTGGGTCTATTGCGAAGGGGTTTGCGACACGTACGTCGGCTTGCGGTCTTCGACGTCAGCCATGGTGGATAAAAGTGGGAGAGGGGGGTCTTCTGGCGGTGGTGGCGATCTACGGCGGGGCGCAGATATCGGGAGGAGTCGGATAGAAGCGGGCGCAACAGACGAGTGTCGCGGGCTTCTTCTGTGTGCGAGTTGTTCAGTTTTGGATCCGTGGCGGAGGAGGAGGGATTCAGCGAGCGCCGTTGCTGACTTGATGTTTGTATGGCGAGCCAAGTGAATGGCCAGCAGACTGTCCGAACGGACGTACTTCCCGGTAGTCAACGGGATGCTGTCCGAAGTAACGTCTCGGCCGCATCCACCACGCGGTCGGTCGCTAGCCGCAGAAGCTACAACTCTAGCTTGTCCTAGACTTTCCCAAACATTCACTCTCGCTTCCACATGGCCACCGACGTCAGTCGCATGCGCGAGCTGCTCACGCAGAGTCTGCGCGCGCCCGAACCGCAGCGCTCTGCGGCCGAAAAGGACCCGCAGCAGCTGCAACGCTGTGCCATCACCGCTCCCTTCCTCGCTGAAGTGCTCGCGATGTGCGTGGCACTGCCAGACGCCGACCATACGCCGCGCAATCTCGCGCAATTGGCCGCCGAGGACGCGGACGTGCGCCTGTTTGCGGTTCTGTGGCTCAAACAGTACCTGAAAGCGCAGTGGAAGACGCGGACGAAAGTTGACAACACGACGACGAATTTGCTGTCGGACCAAGAGCGCGACCACATGCGGCGCGTGCTGCTCTTTGCAGCGCTGCACGAGCCACAGCCAACGATTGCGCTGCATCTGTCGCTCCTCATCGCGTCGCTCGTGCGCCTCGAGTATCCGAGTCAGTGGACGTTTGAGATGCTCTTTCCAGTCATGTTGCAGCCTCTGAGACGGGAGAGTGGCGGGACCGACGTGTCGAGGGAGAGTCGAGGACTGGCCGTGTGCTACTGCGTCGTGAAGGAGCTCGCAACGCGGCGACTCGTGCAGCACCGCAAGCAATTTGCACTGCTCAGTGTCGAGCTCTTGCCGCTGCTGTTGCAGTACTGGATGGCCGCGGCCACGCAGTTGAATGAGAGCTTGGCGCGGGCCGAAAAAGAGGCGGCAGGATTCGTGGGTGGGCAGAAGATGGCTTCGATTGCTTCCGCCCTATCGGTAGGAGGGAGAGCAGCTGAGTGCGCTGCTAACGGCTACGAAACTCGTGTCAACGATGCTGCTGAA